GTACTTGAAGCAGCAGGGGACCACTCTATAAATTACATGATTTTCTAATCACTTTGCTGTACATCTGGAACTAGCACAGAATAATCTTATATAATAAAAGCCTAATATGCAAATTGACCGAATGGCCGAACAACCAGTCACTATGACATGCACTGACCACCAGGGGGCAGATGCTCAATAGAAGCTGCCCACAGGCCCCAGGCCAGCCAAGGCAGGGGCCCCCCAATTGCTCCACTGGTCCCCCACAGATCAGCCCTGATCGCCAGCCAGGCCTAGGGACCCTACCCATGCATGAATTTCATGCATGGGGCCCCTAGTGTTAAATATAAACTATAATTTGAAAAATTAAAATTTATACCAGAGGGGAAGGGCGGGTGGGGAGAGGGTATACAGGGAATAAATGGTGATAGAAAGAGACTTGGGAGGTGAACACAATACAATATACAGATGATGTATTACAGAATTGTACACCTGAAACCTATATAACATTAAATTCAATTGTTAAAAACTTAAATAATAGCCCTGACTAGTTTGGCTCAGTGGCTAGAGCATCAGCCTGTGGACTGAAGAGTCCCAGGTTTGATTCCGGTCAGGGGCATGTACCTTGGTTGCGGGCACATCCCCAGTAGGGGGTGTGCAGGAGGCAGCTGATGGATGTTTCTCTCTCATGGATGTTTCTAACTCTATCCCTCTCCCTCTCTGTAAAAAATCAATAAAATATATTTTTTTAAAAACTTAAATAATAAATAAAAAACCAGTAATACAATTCTAAATAACCCCTGGATCAGAGAAGAAATCACAAAAGGAAATTAGGAAAAAATTGTAATTGGATGATAATGAAGATATGCCATATCAAAACTTGTGGCATACAGGTAAAGCAGAACTTAAAAGAGATACATGACTTTAAATTCACACATTATAAAAGGCTGAAGTCAGTGGTCTAGGTTTTCATGTCAAGAAACTGGAAAGGAATAGCAAATTCAAAAAATAGAAAGATACCCAAAAAAGCACATCAGTGAATTAGAAAACTAATGTTCAATAAAGAAAATCAACAAAGCTAAATATCATTTCCTTGAAAATAATAAAATTGATAAACCCTTAGTAGACTGATCAGGAAAAAATAACATCAACAATGTTAGAAATAGAAAAAGGGACATTTTCATATTTTGCAGTCACCAATCTCATTAACTGCCAGAGACTAGGAAAAAGGGAACATCCAATTCACTTTTAAAGCAGTATTAACTCAGCCACCAAAACCTATCAAGGATATTAAGAAAAGGGCCAAAATCGCATGAATATAGACAAAATTTCTAGACAAGCAAATCAAATCTAGCATTATATATAAAGATAGCCTGGCCGGTGTGGCTCAGTGGTTGAGTGTCAACCTATGAACCAAGAGGTCACTGTTAGATTCCAGGTGAGGGCACATGCCCAAGTTGCAGGCTTGATTCCCAGTAGGGGGCATGCAGGAGGCAGCCAATCAATGATTCTCATCATTGATGTTTCTATCCCTCTTCCTCTCTGAAATCAATAAAAAATATATATTTTTAAGTATCCCAAAAACCCTACAGTAAACCTCTCATATTGAAATCATTATTGATAAAGTATTGAAATCATTCTCCATGAGATGAGGGACAAGATAAAGATGTTCATATCACACCTCCACTTGTTATACTGGTTATGGCCAGTGTGATAACACAAGGAAATAAAAGACAAAACTACAAAGGGGAAAAAAATGCTGACAACATGATTATATACACAAATCTAAAAGAATCTACAAGCTATTAGAATTAAGTGAATTTTGCAAAGTCAATATACAAAAATATCAACTGTGTTTCTAAATACAATAGAAAATAAAGTTTCAAATACCATTTATAATAGCATAAGAAATCAAAGAGCTAGAAATATATCAAAAGACATGCAGAACTTTTACATTGAAAACAATGGAACGTTCTTAAATGAAACCTACATTAATAGATACATATATCTTCATGAATTGGAGAACAATAGTGTAAAAACCCAATTTTCTCAAATTGATCTGATTAAACTCACTTCTAACTAAATTCCCAGCAGATTTATTTTTGTGAAAACTGACAAGCTGATTCTAAAATTTATATGGAAATGCAGAGTGCCAAAACAGCCAAGCAATCTTGAGTAAGAAAATTGGAGTCCTCCCATTCCCAGATGTGGTCCTTTAAATTTCAACTTTTTAGTAATACATTTTTGTAGATATGAGTCTGAATAGCACACACTTGTATTTTGTTATATGACCTTTTCTGAAAGGTTTCTTATGGAATATACTATTTGTATTTTTTATTCTAGCTTCTATCATTTCAGTCTCATTTATTTTATGCCTCCCTGTTCCTCCTCCCTTGGGTGTTCTTGTTTGTTTTTAATTTTGTTGGAATGAAGGGATGTCTATATATTCTCTGGCCTTTTGAAGTTATATATTCTTTTAATTCTACATGTACTCTCACTGATGATTTTTTAAGTGAAATTTAATATTTTGTGTTACTTTTTGGACCATCAAGAAGATGGGTTTTACTTCAGAAATGTGAGTAGTTTGGCTGGATGAGCTGGGGAACTGGTATCTGACTCCCTAGCCTGACTGTTCCCAAAAGAAAAAATGTTTAGGGTGTCACTCCTTCGTGTCAGGAGGAGGGTCTAGGCTTGTCTGGATGGCAGTGTGAGAGTGTAGAGTTTAGGTCTTCCACTGCCAGCTGAACCTTCACTTCAATTTAGGGCTTCTGGTCCTTTCCTGGGCATGGTTCCCAGAAAGTCTCTGTGCTTCTGCTGCTGCTGTGATCAGGTTTCTGGATCTGTTAATAATAGCCAACAGTGGAGGAAGGGCCAGGATCATTATGGGAATAGGAATAACCAAACCAGGTGGACAGTTCCTGTGCCTGGAGCCATCTATCTGCTCCCAAATCTAGAGCATCCTGCAATGAGCATGTTTTCTAAGCCACTCTTTGAAGCTATTCTAACCTTTGAAGGTCTCCAAGTACCTGCCCCCAAAATCAGAACATATGATCTGGGAGCACTGTTTATGAGGACACTGAAAGAGAATATTTGAGATCTGGACTCTCCCACAAAATCCAGATTGAATGAGAGTACTCCTCATAAAACACCCAGAAGGGAAGAAGGTTGGGCAGAAATAAGGTGAAGCCAATAATCACTTAGGAAAAGGCAAACCATATATAATCCTGGAGGAGTGGGAATGTGAAGGGGAAGCATAGAAAAATAAGGACATGATGATGTTGAGGAAGTAGAAATGGGAGAGTGCGACAAGCATGCGAGACATGGCCTCTATTAATTAAAATCTGAGATCAGCACAGTTTAAATATTGATACCCCCATAATCTTCCTGTTCCCAATAATGGCCTCATTCTGCCTCCCCTCTCTATACACTCCTCTTCCTTTATCAAAACCTGCTCTCACTAAAGGATGGTAAACATAACCTAGGTATAAATTGTGAAAAACCAGTAAGGCTTTAGAAATTATCAGGTGCAAAAATTTGAAACCCTCTTATTATAAAATATAACACAGATATAGCAAACTACATAAAGAAAACATATAGCTTAATAATCCTATCTAATAATAGACAAACATGGTAATTGACCTTACCTTCACTATGCCTCCCATTGGCTAATCAGCACAATATGCAAATTAGCCACCAACAAACATGGCGGCTAATTTGCATACTGCAGGCAGGGCAGACAGCACCATCCTGCCTGTCCTGCCGCCATCCGGGCCTGCTATCTGCAACCCAGGGCGGCGGGCATCCATGTGTGACCCAACCTGGGGCGGCCGGGGGGTGCAGCAGCGATCGGCCAGCCTGCCCGGCCTCCATCCAGGCATCCCGTGTGTGACCTGACTCGGGGCAGCACCCCAACCCCCGGATCGGCCCTGCCGTGTGCACGACCTGGGGAGGCAGGGCAGGCACCAAGGGATCGGGCCTGCCATCTGCCACCCGGGGAGCGGACCTAAGCCAGCAGGTGGTTATCTCCCGAGGGGTCCCAGACTGTGAGAGGGCACAAGTGGGGCTGAGGGACACCTCCCCACCCCCCCTCCCCTGCCAGTGCACAAATTTTTGTGCACTGGGCCTCTAGTTTATTATAAAGTGAAGACACTTTTTAGCACCCAGAACTGGAAATAGAACTTGGCCAGCTGTTTCAGAAGCCATATCTCTGCCTTTTCCATCACAACTCCTACCTCCTCCCAAAAGTAACCACTATCCTGACATTTATGGTAATCACTTAGAAGGATTTTATTTTAATGGGACTAAAGTTTAGCTATAAATAATCACTAATGGTAGAATATTAGGCGGTTGAGAGGTATGTGGGGGAGCCATGAGAGACAGCCAGATCTCAGCACATTTAAAATCACATCATTTTATACAGTTAGTTCACTCTGTGCCCATAATTAAGACAGACCTCACTGGAAAAGGATCCCACAGAAGTCCAAGCAAGTACAGGGCTGTGCCCTATGCCCTCAGCTATTTTACTGTCATCTACTGGTCCAGAAAGAGGCATACCCTGCAGTCTTTCCAAGGCAGAGCAAAAGTAGGTCCCAGCTCACAGTGTTTGGGAGAGTGCAAGGGACTAGTTGTCTTTGCTAATGATATGTGAGTCCAGGACATTGCCTGAACTTTCCTGAGCCTCAGTTTCTCACTGTGAAGTATGGGGCCACAATAAAGCCCTTTACAATCACCCATTCCTCTCCTAACTTAGTCCTCTTTCCTCAATCTTGGTGTCTGTTTCAGCTGCCTATTCATTCACCCTTATATAAGAAGCTCATTACCTCCCTTTCCCAGCTGGGTCTTTCCAGTCTTGTGCTTCTCCTTTTGCCCTTGATTCTTACACACGGTGCGTCTGCTTCACACACATCTTTATAAACATGCATGTATGTCCTTGCACATTGGAGGTGCTGAGCAAATGCTCATAGAATGAATGAATGTAAAGGAAGAACAAATGAATTCCTGTATACATTCCTTAAGTATTTAGCGAGTGCCTATATATACAGATACAAACCTGTCTCCCTGCACTCTTAAGATCATTCCTCTCCTCCCTTTCTCCTCATCTTCCTTTTCCATCCTATTCCTTTTTTTTCTTTCACTGCACTGCAAAGCTAGACTGAGTGCCCTGCAAGGCAGCATGCAGACATACAGAAGCAGGCAGGCTGGTGGAAACGGACACCATGGAAAGAAGCCAGAGGAAATAAGGGCAAAGACAGCTGTATAACATGCAGAGAAACCAACCAGAATGAAAAGCCGTGATTCATGGAGCACTGCAACTCAGACACTCCTTGGATTTCACTTTGAGAGCTGAGTCTGGATTGGGGTCAGCGAGGGCTGGCACCAAGATGAAGGGCAGCCAGGCTCCTCCTCCCTGGAGATGTGGTGCTCCAATCCCTCCCCTTAATCCTTTTCTACCCACTCTATCCCCACGACTCCTTCACTGACCAGTGTCCTGGGCCTTTAAGAGTTGGGTGGGCTGGACTGAAGATAGCTCACACTTCCCCCCACCCCACTCCTTCCTTCTGGCTGTAACTCTGCCAGTCACAGCAGCAAACTGCAGTAGAGGAGGGGAGAAAGCCAGCGAGTGCAAGAGGAGAAAAGGAGAAAAGGAGCCGGCTGGGTTTCCTCATCCCACAGTGGAGAGCAAGCACTGCAGAGCTCACAGACACAGGACTGCTATCCTGCACACGGTAAGGGCCTGACCAGCCTCTCTTCCATGTTCTGTCCTGCCGGAGTCCCTAGGTCTGCCTTCAACATGCCTTGATTAAATTGCAGTCTGGCCCTGGCCGGGTGGCTCAGTTGGTTGGAGAATTATCCCGTACACAAGTACACAAAAAGTGTGGGTTCGATTCCCAGTCCAGGCACCTGCCTCGGTTGTGGGTTTGATCCCCAGTCGGGGCGCATACGGGAGGCAACTGACTGATGTTTCTCACATCGATGTTTCTCTCCCCCTTCCTCTTTCTCTAAAATCAATAAACATATCCTCAGGCGAGGATAATATATATATATATCACCCTGGACTCTTTGCCAGAACAGGTCCACAAGGCTCTGGCCTTCTGGTTCTCTCTAGCTTATCCTCTTTGACTTACAGTTTTCCTGCTAGCTCGGGTCATTCACCTCTTTATATGGGACTTCTTAGCTACCCAGGGCTGCCACTTAGAGGTAGCCCCATCATAGTAAGGAGAGAGAGAATTGGAATAACTGTGCTTTAGCATAGATTCATTAACAGATTGTTGAGGATTATCAAATGAGGGTTGGCCATGGCCCAGGTGGAGTATAGGAACCCCTGGTAATAGAGAGAGAGTTATGAGACTTCCTTGGAAAGAGCCAGGGTTTGAATTCTATACCTCGTTCTTCGCTTGCTCACTGGACCAAGACCGTTTGTTGGCATGCCCAAGTGCTGTTCTGGGAAGAGCACTTGTTTCTAGTCCTGACTTTGCCATCAATCAGGTAGGTGACTTTGGTCCCCAACTTCCTGATCTGTGATAAGAGGAAGTTTAGGGTTTCCCAGACTTGCCTGTGTGTCAGAGGTGCTTGATAAAAATAAATCTACCTAAGCCCCATTCTTGGAATTTCTGATCTGGTAGATTGTGAGCTAAGGAATCTCTGTTACAAGACCCTCTCCAGGGAATATTGATGTAGCCAAGAACCTCTGGATTATATGTGTTATAAAAAGTCTTCAAACTCTGACATTCTGAGGGCTAGGACCTATGTCTGGGGGCATTCTGTCCTCTCTACATGAACCAGGCATAATCCTGCTCAGAAGCAAAAGAGCAGACAAAATGTAACAACTTAGACATAAAGAGTAGACAGAATGGTTCTCTTCCTTCCTGTTCCTCAGGGAGACTGGAGACACCCTGAATCCCACTGTAATGCCGTTGACAATTCTGCCATGTCTCCCATAAGTTACCTAGAAGTTGAGGACCCAATCTTGCTTGGCAGACCTGGCCACTTCCCACCTCATTTTTTTTTTGTCTCTGTTTTCTCATCTGTATTATAGAGGAAATTATCTGTACCCTTGAGGATCTCCACATGTGTGTCCACGAGTGAACAGTTAAGACCAGTCTCTCTTACAGTCTTCATCCTCTGCTCCCTGCCTCTTGCTCCTACTCCCAAATCTTTTGTGTCTTCTTTTCTAACCACACTTGCACCAGCTGTGAGCATCCTTCCCAATTTCCCTTCAGACACCAGAGGAAGCACCAAGACCTAGAACACTTGGGTTCTAAGTTGCATTCTCTGGGCAGTTTGTTTAGTTAGTCTCCTGGGATACGGGGGAAAGTAAGGTTAAGTAGAGGGATGTGCTACTGGATCACAGTTTCAAAATCCTCATGGGTTGAGAACAAGAAAAAAGAGAGGATGAAATGATGGGGAGAAGGATGACAAGAGAACAAAGAGAAGCTGACAAGTGAGCAAGTAGAGAGGCAGATAGGACAGGAGAGAAAAGAGTGAGTTGGGGGGAAAAGAAAAGGTATGGGTCAGGTAGAGGATGGGGAAAAGAGAGAAAACGATAAGAAAGAAAAGCTGTTTTGTGGGATATGGAGGAAACAGAAATGATGGAAGGGAGAGACAAAACTTTGATATTCTTCATTGATTCTTAGCCCTGCTTTAACCTGCTTCCTAGTGAAAGCCCTTTCTAAGGGCAGAGACTTGGTGAGATCTCTGAGCTGGTCATGTGGAGATCTTGGTTGTTATCCTAGTTCTGCCACTTAATTTTAGGTGACTCTGGCAGTTGAGCTAATTTTTCTAGTGCTCACTCCTTTTCTCTATAAAATGAAGTCCAGCTCTGACATTCTGTAGCTCCTTGTGTTGAAACTGGCCATCTTATGCATGGCCACATGTCACCTAGATACAGATTTGAAATAGTGATTCAGGAATGGGAGCAGGATTTGAAGAGCATGCCAAGTTCTGGGGTTGGAAGTGTTTGACAAAAGAGGATAAAAGAACTTTCTAAAGCTGGTCTGAGAAGCTCCAAAATAGGGGCATCCTGGTACTTGGGCTCTGTTTTCAGGCTTCCCATGTTTTAGGACATTATTCTGTGGCTCCTGGACCCAGGCGTAAGATCAGGTAATTCTGTCTTCTCCCAGGGCTAAGGTCCACCCCGTCCCAGAGTCCCTATGCCCCAGATGTGGGAGCTGAAGTTCTGAGAGAAGATGTTATAGGATGTTGGCAAGGGGGTTTCAATTTCAGTTCCAGGCTGACCCCCATCCCCACCCCACCCCAGAGTCTGAGGACCTGAGATACTTAAGAGGGACCTGTTTGTTACTTTCTACTTCAGTCTTAATATAGCTTTTGCAAGCCTCAGGTTCCAAACTGTGTATCTCCACCCAGAAAAGTAGAGATGCGCTTCTGTCTCCCAGGAAGCACTCTGCAGCCCTTCTTCCATTTGGGGGTTTCTCACCCAGGCTCTCCTATTTAGTCTCAGCCAGCAAAACCTTTTTTTAAAAATATATTTTATTGATTTTTTACAGAGAGGAAGGGAGAGAGATAGAGAGTTAGAAACATCGATGAGAGAGAAACATCCATCAGCTGCCTCCTGCACACCTCCTACTGGGGATGTGCCCGCAACCCAGGTACATGCCCTTGACCGGAATCGAACCTGGGACCCTTCAGTCCGCAGGCCGACGCTCTATCCACTGAGCCAAACCGGTTCCGGCAAAACCTTTTCTTTTTTGGAACCATTGCAGGGATCTTTCTCCCTTGAGAGAAGCCTTGAGTTCTCTTTCCCACTTAGGTACAGACTGATTACCAACTTTCTCTATTCCCTCTGACACCTGCACATTGCTACTCATTTAGAAAGCCTTTTCTAGGTGCTACAGTCAGGGAAGCTGTATTTTCAGTGACCTCTACCTTCTTTCCAAAGACTTAGTTATCCCCAGGTGACTTTATAGGCTCTTCCCACTGGAGACATAGGGTACTAATATGCTTTGTGGCCTCAGACAAGTCACATCACATTTCTAGACTTCTGCTTTTTTCATTTGTAAAATATAGAGAGTTGAGCTGCATGATGTTTTTTTAAAAATATGTTTTTATTGATTTTGCTTTTTAGAAAGAGAGGAAGAGAGAGGGAGAGAGAGAAACATCGATGTGAGAGAGAAACATCGATGTGAGAGAGAAACATCAGTTGCCTTCTGCACGCACCCTGACCAGAGACCAAACCCACAACCTGGGCACATGCTCAGACCGGGAATTCAATAGGCCACCCTTTGGTGCATGGAGCAATGCTCAACCAAGTGAGCCACACCGGTCAGGGCTGCATGATGTTTTCATGGAGCATTAATCAAATGATTGTTTCAGAGATTCTTTTAGTTTTTTAGACGTTCACCAATGTCAACATTTTAAATTTATTAATTAAAAAGCACAACATTTCTATTCAAGTGTAGATACTTTTCTTATACAAAAGCATAGACATTTATGTTTCATAGGCTTTGCCAGTTTCAGAATGATTTGGTCAAGAATTGAGCATTTCTTATAGGGGCAAAGCTAGAATCAAGTGGCCATATATAAAATCTTCTAGTTCTTTTCAAGGGAAGTTTGTTGTTACTTACTAGGACAAATGAACCAGGTCCTGAATTAGCATATATCATAAAGGAGGCACTTTTTTTTAGTAGGTAGAGAAAACTTAAAAATGCAATTCTGAGACTTTGTAATTTATATGGTCCATTAAAACTCTCAGAATAACTGTTATGAAAAGGAGTATAAAATATGCTTTACCATGTGAAGTGAAGAAGATGGCTTATTTAGCTATGTACAACATGAAGTGTTGTACACGAGACAAAGGAAACACTTCAGGAGCCCTGACCAAGTAGCCCAGTTGATTAGAGTAACGTCCCGATATGCCAAGGTTCTGGGTTCAATCTCTGGTCAGGGGACATAAAAGAATCAACCAATGCTCCCTAACCGGTTTGGCTCAGTGGGTAGAGCATTGGCCTGAAGACTGAAAGGTCCCAGGTTCGTTTCCAGTCAAGAGCATGTACCTTGGTTGCAGGCACATCCCCAGTAGGAGGTGTGCGGGAGGCAGCTGATGGATGTTTCTCTCTCATCGATGTTTCTAACTCTCTATCCCTCTCCCTTCCTCTCTGTAAAAAATCAATAAAATATATTTTTAAAAAAGAGAATCAACCAATGAATGCACAAATAAGTGGAACAATAAACCTCTCTCTATCCTTTCCTCTCCCTCTCTAAAAATCAATTTTAAAAAAATAAAGAAAAGAAAAAGCCCTAGCCGGGTTGGCTTAGTGGGTAGAGTATGGGCCTGCATAACGAAGGTTCCCAGGTTCAATTCCGATCAAGGGCACATACCTCAGTTGCAGACTCAATCCCCGGCCCCACGGTTCCGTGCAGGAGGCAACCAATGTTTCTCTCCTTCTTTCTCTCTTCCTCCCACTCTCTAAAAATCAATGGAAAGATATCCTCAGGGAGGATTAACAAAAAATTTTAAAAAATAAAATAAATTAAAAATAAAGAAAGACTTCCAAGCTGGATGGTCTACATGGGAGCATGGAGAGGGCTCCCAGAAAGGGAAGTTAGGATGATTAAGATGATTTTATCTGGAGAAGAGAAGACTGGGATATAGAGATTCCAGATTCTGCAAGGGCTGCCAGCAAGATAGTGGTTTTTTGTTTTAAATATATTTTATTGATTTTTTTACAGAGAGGAAGGGAGAGGGATAGAGAGTTAGAAACATCGATGAGAGAGAAACATCGATCAGCTGCCCCCTGCGTACCCACCACTGGGGATGTGCCCGCAACCAAGGTACATGCCCTTGACCAGAATCGAACCTGGGACCCTTGAGTCTGCAGGCCGACGCTCTATCCACTGAACCAAACCGGTCAGGGCAAGATAGTGGTTTTTAATAATGAGGAGCTGAGCAGTGTGACATGAGGTTATCTTGTAGAATATGGGGTATTGGGAAAGAGAGGAGTATTTGGCAGAAAGACCTGGTTTAGTCCTCTCTGGAGATGACTATGGGAAGCAGCAAAGGTTCTGGAATCAGACATACTTGGCTTCAAATTCTGAATCCCTGTGATTTGAGGCAGGTTTCTTAGCCTTTCTAAGCCTTGTAGTTACCAAACTCAAATTAGAAGTAAAAAGAGCTACAGACTATATAGATGGAATGCCTGACACATAGTGGGCAGTCAGGAAACATTGGTTTCCTTCTCTTCCTCCCTTGTTCTGTTATTCTAAAATCACCAAGATTAACCCAGTTTTTTGCTCCTCCTTACTCTTTTAGGTAACTCTGGCGCCAGCTGGTGGAGCAGTGAGTGATGGCATTCCTGCTGCAAGGCCGTGAGTACCCCTGCAGAAGAGGGCTTGGGGAGACAGCCCAGGGACGGGGAGGATACTGAACCTCTATTCAAGAGCTCCTCCTGGGCCCTCCACATCCCTGGTTGGCTATCCAGCCCCTGCTTCTTCTGGCCCAGGGCTGCCCATCAGTCAAGATGTGCTGCTGATGCAGAAAGGTACGATGATGCGCAAGGTGAGATCCAAAAACTGGAAGAAGCTAAGATACTTCAGACTTAAGGAAGATGGCATGACCGTCTGGCATGCCCGGCAGGTCGGAGGCAGAGCCAAGGCCAGCTGTAAGTGACATGGATAGCTAGGGGTGGGCATATGGGTGGATAGAATGCTGAGGAGCCCAGCATCTGATAGCAGGAGAGGGACCAGGGTCCTATGATGTTGCCTTGTGCTGTCCCACTTGTATCTATGCCTGAGCCTATAAAATGAAAATTATAACAGTATTTGCCTCTTAAGGCTGTTATTAGGATAAAATCAATTATTGCATGTAAAGGGCTTAGAAGAGTCCTGGAACATAAAAAGGCTCAATAAATCATACATTATATATCTTGTTATTTTTATTATAATAAGAGCATGATCTCAGGCATCTGACTGACTGGATTAAAGCCCTGACACTTTCTAGCTGAGTGGCTTTGGACAAGTTACTTAAACTAAGCTTCAGTTTCCTCATCTGTAAAATGGATGTTAAACAGTACCTGCCTAGTAGGTTATAGGGACCCAACAAATTAATATCTAAAGCATGGGACCTGAAACCAGATGCATTTAATAAATATGAGCCATTATGGTGAATATTTTAAAATGTCATAAATGCATCATAAGTATACATTCTATTGGCTGAACACTTTATGATCCCTCTAAAAATTTGATCACAGGACGCATCTAAGGGAGTCTGCTTTAGAGACATACCAAAGCTCACGTTCCACACCACTCCCAGCTGAGGAAAGAGGGTAGGAGCATTTCTCTGGTTCCCTCCTATCTGGAAAGAGGAAGCTCTCAAACCTGGAATGGAAGAACTGAAATTGGGCCTATTATGCTTTGGTGTAACTGCTTCTACCCTGTAACTGTGCTTCCATTTGTTAGCCCCACCAGTCCTTTTGTGGTCACCATGTACACTGGCCATGTAAGGGACCATCCCTTATTGAAGATGAGGACACTAAGGATTAAGGTCTTTTGTCTGTGTCATACTGCCAGCTGAAAGCTGGGAGCCAGTCTTGCCATTCCCAGCACAGGCCCCTTGCCATGCTGCCTATGAACACAGCAGTGATTCATGTGGAATCCTGAATCCCAGCGGTCTGCATCTCCCTATACTAAAGCTTTTGGGGTTTTAGCCTGTGGAGGCTGGGGTTCCTCCTCTCTATGGCTTCAGAGAGAAGGGAGTAATTAATGGTCCTTGATCATTAGCTCCTGCAATTTGGTGAACTCTCTTCCTCAGTCTCCCCACTTGCTTATTCTCTGGCAGTCTCGATCTCTGACGTGGAGACAGTGCGTAATGGCCATGAATCTGAGGTGTTGCGCAGCCTGGCAGAGGAGTTCCCCCTGGAGCAGGGCTTTACCATCGTCTTCCATGGCCGCCGCTCCAACTTGGACCTGGTAGCCAACAGTGTGGAAGAGGCCCAGATCTGGATGAAGGGGCTCCAGCTATTGGTGGACTTTGTCACCAACATGGATCAACAGGAGAGGCTGGACCAGTATCGGGCAAGATGGAGTCAGAATGGGGGCCAGAATCACTGAAGGGGCAGATGCTGCAGGGCTAGAGACAGGTGAGGGGGGCGGTATAGGGCTAGGGAATCCCAAGAGTCCAGATGGGGTGGGTAGGGGCAGTTCAGACCGATGTGAGGCTGAGAATGCTGAAGGAGGAATTGAGGTTTGAGATGGCAAAAGCATAGCCAGGCAGAGTTTGGGCATGCATCAGGCCTCCTAGTTTTGGGGGAAGGGACAGCAAGAGGTCAGGGGCCAAACAAGATGCTGATCCTGAGAGCTGAACAGAAGATCCTAGTGGCATGAGCTACCACAGGGGTGGGAAGCAATCCCTTCAAAGACTTACTGGTGTCAACTCACTTCAAGTTTCCTAGATTGGATTCACCTTCTGTGCTAGTTCTTTCATTCATTCATCCATTCGTTCACCAGCTATTAAACAGAATATACCAGGCACTATATGCCAGGCTTTAAGAGTACAAAGATATTGTTTTCCTCAGTGGAGAGGATGGGATTGTGTAAATAATCTAAGTACCATGGAACTGTATGGTACTTAGATTATTTGAGGCTGTTCAAAGGAAGGATAAATATTTAATTCTAGCTGAGAGGGTTCTGAGAAAGCTTTAGGGAGGAAGTAGTATTTTAGCAAAGCCTTGAAAATTAGTATAATTTGAACATTAAGTGAGGAGGTAAAAACACCCCTGCCTGAAGGAACAGCATGAGTAAAGGCCCAGAGATAGGAAATTGAAGCGCTGGAGAACTGGGACATCACAGAGTGGGAAGTTGGGGTTCTGGCTAAAGTGCAGAAAGGGCAGAGATGTGTTGAGAAGACTGGGTTGGAGCCAGATTATGGGGGCACAGGAGATCTTAACTTCTATGTTAAAGAATCTGTACTTTCTGCAAAAAAGAGGTACCTGCTGGCATCTGAGCCATGCAGGGATAAGATAGATAGGTACTCGGGGGGAGGGGGGAGGGGGTATTCTAGAAGCTAATGTGGAAAATTAATTGGTGTGGGAGATAGACAGGCAGAAAAGATAGGGAGAGATGTCAGTGGATGAACATGCACACACATCTGCACATACAAACACACACAGTGCTTTTGCCTTGACTCAGACCTGGATGGCTGAGTGACTGGTTCCAGCGTGGAGACAAAAACCAGGATGGTCGGATGAGTTTCCACGAAGTCCAGCGGTTACTACGCCTGATGAATGTGGAAATGGAACAAGAACATGCCTTTCAGCTTTTCCAGGTGAGTCTTTCAGGAACGTATTTGCAGAAGCCAAACAAGGCCACATTCTCACTTGACCGTAAGTACTCTGATCCTTTCCAACAACATTCATTTATTGAATCTCTATTATGTGCCCTTAGCACTATGCCAGGCTCAATGGGAAGTGTAGGCCATGCTTCTTACTCTTCAGTCTTGTTGGAAAGATGATTTATAATCTTATAAAAGGTAACTAATAATATGTTATTACATCAGACCCCAAGAACCTCTCTGTCCATGGCCAGACTTTCACAGGTGCTTAGAACAATAGAAAACTCCAACTGGAATGTGAATAAATAGAAGAAGGGATATTTTGACCTTTAGGGATTTCAATTCTTTCTAGTTGAAAAAATTTTTTAGTAGCAAATGGTATGGCTGAAATTTTGCTTCTTACTTACTGAAGTGACTTCTTCTATGAACACCAAGTATCATGTATTCTGTGGAAGCATACTTGGATCCATCTGTCAGTAAGACTGTCCTTATAAGACAAGCCAAGGCCATAAAAGTTGCTGTTAAAGGGTTTGTCCAATCTCCTCTAAACCCTCTTGCAGGCAGCAGACACATCCCAATCTGACACTCTGGAGGGACAAGAATTTATAGAGTTCTATAAGGCATTGACTAAGCGTGTTGAGGTACTGGAACTGTTTGGAAACTTTTCGGCTGATGGGCAGAAGCTGACCCTGTTAGAATTTGTGGATTTCCTCCAAGAGGAGCAGAAAGAAGGAGACCATGCTTCTGACCTTGCTCTGGAACTCATTGACCGTCATGAGCCTTCAGAAAGTGGTAAGAGGACCAGAGCAGAGAGGCACCAGACAGGGGTCAGGGAGGGGGACCATGACCAGAAAGGTCCAGAGATCAGCAGCTTTCTGTCTAACTCAAGGAAGGCTGAGTCCACCCCTACCTCAGTCCCCTACCCAATCATCTTCATCTCATTCAGCCACTTCTCGAAGGAGTGCAGCCATTTCCATTTCTTGCCCAGATAAGAGAGAAGTCTCCTCTGTAATGCTAGATCTCTCAGAGGAAGAACATTCCACAAGACCCCTTTCCTCCACCATGCTCAAGTTGCACATCCTTCACTTGCTGAAAGTTCTTCTTATATCAGCTTTTGGCCTCAGTGGAGATATAGTATAAAATACTTGATCCTCTTGCTTTGGTCTCTTCTTCTCTAGTGCATATGATTGATTTTCCTCTAGTTCCCTTCATGGTTCCTGTTTGCTATCACTTTAAGTGCTGGCTCTCTTCCCTTTCCTGGGCTTTCTCCAAGTTTACCAGATGGTTCTTGAAGTCTCTGAGTCCCTTAAAGTCCTAGGAAGCTAGTCAGCCCCTGGCTGAGGGGGTTGATGATGAGGTCAATCATTCAGCATTATCAAACACAACTAAAATATGCCCTCTCTGCCCTCAAATTTTCCTCCTTGCCCTTTTAGTAGATATCTTCCTGCTCTCCATTCCCTTCAGAATGTGAGGAATTTACTAGTACATCCTATATAATAAAAGCCTAGGTGGCGTCGTATGACGCCCTCACACAATGTTGTCACAAGATGGCTGCCACAAGATGGCCACACGCACAGGGGAGGCGGGGTCTGGTGGCCGCTCCATGTGGTGAGGCCTGGGGGTCCCGTGGCTCTGCATGGCACGGAGGAGGCCGGTCCAGGCGTCTCTGCCACCTTGTGTAGAGGAGGCAGGTCCTGGCGGAGGAGGCAGGTCGTGGCAGGGGAGGACAGTTGTGGGTGATCAGGCTGGCAGGGGAGGGCAGTTGTGGGTGATCGGGCTGGCAGGGGAGGGCAGTTGGGGACAATTGGGCTGGCAAGGGAGCAGTTAGGTGTCAATCAGGCTGGCAGGGGAGCGGTTAGGGGGTGATCAGGCCAGCAGGCAGAATCGGTTAGGGGTAATCAGGCAGGCAGGCAGGCGAGCAGTTAAGAGCCAGCAGTCCCGGATTGTGAGAGGGATGTCCGATTGCCGGTTTAGGCCTGATCCCTGCAGGCCTGAACCGGCAGTTGGACATCCCCTGAGGGATCCCAGATTGGAGAGGGTGCAGGCCAGGTTGAGGGACACCCCCCCCCCGCACAAATTTCATGCACTGGGCCTCTAGTTATTAATAATACTAGAGGTCTGGTGCACAAAAATTTGTGCACTCAGGGGGGTCCCTCAGCCCGGCCTATGCCCTCTCGCAGTCGGGGCACAGACTGTGCCCTCTCCCAGTCTGACATCCCTCTGGGGATGTCCATCTGCTGGCTTAGGCCTGTTCCCCGGGGGATCGGGCCTATGCTGGCAGTCAGACATCCCTCTGGCAGCCCGGGAGCCCTCGGAGGATGTTCACTTGCCAGCGGGGACCAGGCCTAAGCTGCAGTCAGAAATCCTTAGCACTGCTGAGGAGGTGGGAGAGGCTCCTGCCATCACCGCTGTGCTGGCAGCCATCAGCCTGGCTTGTGGCTTGGCAGAGCTCCCCCTGTGGGAGCGCACTCACCACCAGGGGGCAGCTCCTGCATTGAGCATCTGCCCCCTGGTGGTCAGTGTGTGTCATAGTGACCAGTCATTCCCAGTCATTCTGCTGTTAGGGTCAATTTGCATATTACCTTTTTATTATATAAGATAGAGGCCTGGTGCATGGGTGGCGGCTAGCTGGTTTGCCCTGAAGGGTGTCCCAGATCAGGATAGGGGTCCCACTGGGGTGCCTGGCCAGCTGGGTGAGGGGCTGATGGCTGTTTGCAGGCTGGCCAAGGCCCCCAGTGGGGACCCTCACCCCATGGGGGTTTGGCCAGCCTGGGTGAGGGGCTGAGGGCTGTTTTCAGGCTGGCCACAGCCCCTTCGGGGGGGGGATCCCGCTGGGGTGCTTGGCTAGCCTGGGTGAGGGGCTGATGGCTGTTTTCAGGCTGGCCATGGGCACGGGCTGAAAGCAAGTATCTGGGATTTATTTATCTTCTATAATTGAAACTTTATAGCCTTGAGCAGAGCTCAGGGCCGGCAGGGCAGGCGGAAAGCTTGGCTTCCTCCATTGCTGGGGGCAACCCAAGCCTCCTGCTCACTCCAGCTCCGTGGCTACCGCCATCTTAGTTTAGTTAATTTGCATATTTCCTCCTGATTGGCTGGTGGGCATGGCTGGTGGGCATGGTGGAGGTGCAGTCAATTTGCATGTTTCTCTTTTATTAGATTAGACTAGAGGCCTGGTGCACGAAATTTGTGGATGGGTAGGGTCCCTAGTCCTGGCCAGCAATCAGGGATGATCAGGTTCCCCACCTCCTCACCTCCTCCTTCCCTTGCTCCCTCAATGCCCCAGCTGCTGCTGGTCGCCCGCCATGTTCCACACCACCCCCTGGTGGTCAGCACACGTCATAGTGCGCAATCGAACTCCTGGTCTCCCAGGTGAACTCCCGAGGGGACACTGCATATTAGCCTTTTATATATGTAGAAATTATTTACAAGGCACTTTCACATGCCTTACTTCATTTAGTTCTTACTACAATCTTGTAAATCAAGATTGGGCTTTTGCCAAGTATTCCATAATGTGCCAATATCTCTACATGCCTTTTCTCTTCTAATCCTTACAATGACCTGTTGGAATAGTTTTTATTATTGAGTCAGTTGTGCAAGAGAGAAAAACTGAGGTATAGAACAATTAAATTACTTGCTCAAAGCCAACAGCTAATGAGAGGAGAAATTGGGATTCAAATCCAGGTCATCTGATATTTACTTGGTGCCTTTCTTGAGAATAAGGATTAGAGATGAGATGAATGAGAGCTGGACAAGTGACCCAGGTTTCCTAAGTCTCAATTCCCACTTCCTTCCTTCCATTCATTCATTCATTCATTCACACTATACTTCTGCTAGTGCTTATTGAATACCTAAATGTGGCAGGACTTATGTGCTGGGCACCAGAGATATAGTAGTAGGTTAAGACAAGGACAATGTATTCATGGAACTTAGAGTCAAATAGAAAGTGTTGATTCATGTGGGTACTCAGAGAAGAAAGGGGACTGAAAGCAATCATTTCAGAAAACCACATAGAAGAGGAATGTCACAGGGTTAAGAAATAGGATCTTCTATTACATTTATTACATCCATTACATTTATTCTACCCTCCCCTTGCACTCAACTATCAGATGCTATACTCTGCCTGCCGGGTAGTATAAGTCAAGAGACCTGGGCTCAAGTTTCCACTCTGCTTCTTACTGAGTAACCTTAGTCAAGTTGCTTAATCTGAGACTCGATTTTCTCATTTTTAAAATAATTGGTGATCAAATGTAATAATGCATATGAAAGTACCTGGCAGCTGTGGACTTAACCTATTGATCTGATGTATTACTATAAAGAATGAAAGTTGCTGCCATTCTCCAGCATCTTCAGGCCTTATCAAATCTGGAACAAGAAGCTGGGCATGAGAATCTAATTATTCTGCCTTCCAAGGGAGCCCGCCTGCAGCAATGTTTCCCTCAGTGAAACTGCACAGCCCAGTGGTGTAGGGTGTGGCTCTGACACCTGGCTGCCTGGGTTCAAGTCCCTACACTTACTGGTTATGTACATGAGATGAGTTACCCAACCTCTCAAGACAGATTATATTACATCTACCTCATCATGTTGGTTAGAGCGTTAAGAGAGATGTTGAATGTAACATCCTTTGTATAGAGCAAGTGCTCAATAACTGTTAGTCATTGTTGTTGTAAATATAGAAGCCCATGCTGAAATGGGTGAGGGCTATGGAAGGGTGACAGGACCTGGCCCTTGAAGAAAGTGTGGTCCAAGGCAAAACACCATGTGGGAATTGACAATAGGGAAAAAAAACCCTTAGATCATAGTTGGCAGTAGCTACACAACCCAGGGAATAAAACAAAGATACCTTGGTTGTGTTGCTAACAAGCCTTTGACTTTGATTCTCTCCGGGCCTCAGTTTCCCTATCTATAAAATTACCCTTTCAAAATGAATATTGTGCTGCCCATTATGGTAGCCATGAGCACCATATGACTGTTTAAATTTAAATGAACTAAAATCAAAATTTTAAATTCAGTTCCTGTCCTGGCAGGTATGGCTCAGTTGGTTGAGTGTCCTCCTTTGCACCAAAAGGTTGCTGGCTCTTTCCTGGCCAGATTGCTCACTGGTTAGAGCATCGGCTGAGGACTGAAGGGTCTTGGGTTCGATTCCTAGTCAAGGGCATGTACCTCCCTTGGGGGTTTGCACCCTATTCCTAGTTGGGGTGCATGCAGAAGACATCCAGTCTATGTGTCTCTCTCACATTGATGTTTCTCTCTCTCTCTCTCTCTCTCTCTCTCTCTTCTCTTCCTCCTTCCTCCCTTTCACTCTCTCTAAAATTCAATGGAAAAAATATCCTTGGGTGAGGATAAATTTTAAAAAGTTTGCTTGTTCGATTCCTGGTCAGGCAGGGCACATGCCCAGGTTGAGGGCTTGATCCTCAGCAAGGGCGTGCAGGAGGCAAATGAACGATCTTTCTCTCTCTCTTTTTTTTCTCTCTCTCCCCCCTTCCTCTCCCTTCCCTTCTCTCTCTCAAATCAATAAAAACATATATTTAAAATTCAGTTCCTCAGTTACACAGCTACATTTTAAGTGCTCATTAGCCTTATGTATCTAGAGGCTATCATATTGAACAGTGCAGTTTCCATCATTGTAAAAAGTTCTATTGGACAGCATTGAACTAGAATGTTTGTAATGATTCCCCTTGTAGCTTTAACATTCTCTGAGGGTGGGGATGATTGAAATGACAGAAATTGGACGGGGTCAAGTTTGGGTTCTGGAGGCTGGGAGTGGTCACCATCTGACAGGCAGGACCCTGGAGAGGTGTAGGGTGGACTGGCTGTGGGTGTGCTGGGGTGCTCCCATTCAGAGTTCTCTCATTCTAGTGTCCCCCTACTCCACATCTCAGGCAAGCTACGACATGTGCTGAGCATGGATGGCTTCCTCAGTTACCTCTACTCGAAGGACGGAGACATCTTCAATCCTTCCTGCCTCCCCATCTACCAGGATATGACTCAACCCCTGAACCACTACTACATCAATTCCTCTCACAACACCTACCTGGTGGGGGACCAGCTTTGTGGCCAGAGCAGCGTCGAGGGATATATACGGTGCAGTGGGGAGGAAGGGGGGAGGAATCAAGCTCATGAGAAGGGAACACCTGTGGGAAATTTAGGACAGTTAGTGGTAACAGGAATCGAAAATACGTTGTTGCGGGGGGGGGGGGTGAGTTTGGGGGCTGAGTATCCTTGAATACCTGAGAGACTTGGAGGAGATACTGAAGACTGGTGGGAGAGTGGTATTAAAACCTATGGGTTTTAATGGAGCTTCTCTCTTTCATAAGCTATGAAACTCTTTTTGAACTCAGGCCCTGACAGATTTATTTTAAATAAATAAATAAACTAAATGTTAAATGGAAGGCAGTACAAGCATGTCACACTCACAGCTGGTGGGCCGCATACCTCGTTTATTGAGCATGCGGCCCTCTGGCCGTGAGTTTGACATGCTTGCAGTAGAGCATAGGAGTTAAAAACAGGTTCTGGAGTCAGACCATTTGAGGTCAAATCCTAACTATCTCACTGTTACTCTGGAGCTAAATATTTCATCTCCCTATGCCTCACTTTCCCCATTTGTGAAACAGAAATGATAACAGTGTCTATTCTGTCTAGGTTGTTGTGAGGATTCAATGATATAATCTGTGTCAATACCTAATAAATGGTAACTACTTTTATTGTGACCAATCATGCATTAGATAGAAAGTCAATATATTTTTGCACTTACTACTGATCTAGTAGCTTCAGGGGATACAAAGATGAACGGAACATATAGTTTCTGCCCTAGGAAGTCTAATAGAGAAAATAAATAACTCAGGTGTTGTATAATGAAATACAACCAGAACATCAGAGCATCATGAGGCAGTATATGATGACTTGCTAAGGAAAGATTGTGAGTTGGTTGGGAGTGAGGGGAGGTGTTGGAGATCGGTGTAAGCTACAGCAGTGTTCCAGTGGGCAGAGAATGGTCTGTGGAGATGTAACTTGAACAGGGATCTTAAGAGGTAAGTGCACTGTTCTCTCCATAGTGGGAAGAGGGTCCCTAGGTGGAAGACCAAACCTTGACCTCTCCTATCCCTGGGGGCTTGGGGTTCTTGCAGGGCCCTGAAGCGGGGGTGCCGCTGTGTGGAGGTGGATGTATGGGATGGACCCAGTGGGGAGCCTGTTGTTTACCATGGACATACCCTGACCTCCCGTATCCTGTTCAAAGAAGTTGTGGCCACTCTAGCACAGTATGCCTTCCAGGTAGGAGCCCCAGGATGGGAATACTGTGAGGCCAGAGGATCTCAGGAAAAAGTGGCTGGGTCTGGGTCTGGGTCTGGGTCTGGGTCTAGAGAGGGTAAAGGGACAAGGGGAGGTTAGATCAAATGGCATTTGGTAAAAGAGATTTTAACCTTGAAGGATCAGGCAAATATTAAAAATTTATTGATTTTAGAGAGTGGGTGCTCAGAGAAGAAAGGGGGCTGAAACAATCTATAAAAATAAAAGCGTAATATGCTAATTAGACTAGATGTCCTTCTGGACGAAACTGGGGCTGCAAGGAAAGCCCGGGTCCCGGGTGCCGGCAGCTGGGGAAAGGAAGGCCTACTTTTGCACGAATTTCGTGCATCGGGCCTCTAGTCATTTCAGAAAACCACATGGAAGAGGAATGTCACAGGGTTAAGAAATAGAACCTTCTATTCCCAGTGCAGGACCCAGTATACATCCATTACATTTATTCTACCCTCCCCTTGCATTCGACTATCAGAGAAGAGAGACATCCATTTTTTGTTTCACTTATTTATCCATTCATTCATTGGTTGATTCTTTTTATTTTTATTTTTTATTGATGTTTTACAGAGAGGAAGGGAGAGGGATAGAGAGTTAGAAACATCGACCAGCTGCCTCCTGCACACTCCCTACTGGGGATGTGCCCACAACCAAGGTACATGCCCTTGACCAGAATCAAACCTGGGACCCTTGAGTCCACAGGCCAACGCTCTATCCATTGAGCCAAACCGGTTAGGGCCATTGGTTGATTCTTGTATGTGTCCTGACCTGGGATCAGACCCACAACTTTGGTATATTGGGACGACACTCTAACCAACTGAGCTACCCAATATTAAGGAATTATTATGAGTAAGTGTTAGCTGTGTTACTATTAATTAGTTGTCATAGAGGTAATTACTAGAGATTAATCATTTCTAACAACTTCGTTACCTATCTGAGTGAGGCTGTGGATAAGGAAATAGACAAAGTGGTGGGTAGGAGTCGGGGATGATAGGAACCTGGAGATTAAAGACTGAGAGTGTAACATGAGCATGTAACGAGGGGAGTGGCCTGGCCTACCCACTCTGAGCCTGAAAACCCTAACATCCCAAAGGAACATGGGTTGGATCTGGCACTTGTCTGAGATTTGGGGTCCCAAGAATGACTTGTGTGTTTTTTTAAATTGATTTTTCCATCTTTTAAAATATATATATATTGATTTCAAAGAAAGGAGAGGGAGAAATAGAAACATCAATGATGGGAGAGAATCATTGATCAGCTGCCTCCTGCATGCCCCACACTAGGAATCAAGTCTGCAACCTGGTCATGTGCCCTGACTGGGAATTGAACCATGACCTCCTGGTTCATAAATCAATGCTCAACCACTGAGCCATGCAGGCCTGGCCCAAAAGTGACTTTTATTTATTTACTAGAGGCCCAGCGCACAAAATTCGTGTGCGGGTACAGTCCCTAGGCCTGGCCTGCGATCAGGGCCACCTTCCCTGGCTGCCTGCAGCTGGCCCCGCCCCCCACTGCCACCCACCCCCATTTCCCTGTTCACCATCGGATGATCAGAGCCTGACGGCTGGGGGAAGGGACCGAGAGGTTGGCTGTTTCCGCCTGCTTTCTGGCCCCACCCTACCGTGGGTCGCCCTCTGTGTGTGGGATGATTGGTGGGGACAGGGCCTTGGCCTGGCGCCACCTGCATCCCCTGCCACCCACCCCTGGTTCCCTGTTCACCACTGTGTGATCGAAGCCTGCCGGTCAGGGAAAGGGACTGAGAGGTGGTCAGTGTGCCTCATAGTGACTGGTCGAGTGGTCGTCCTGGTTGTTCTGCCATTAGGGTCAATTTGCATATTATCCTTTTATTATATAGGATTATTTTTTACACTTAAAATTTTTATTATGTTCATCATTTAATTGTCCCTTAATTTTTTTCTTTTTAATTGAATTTATTGGGGAGACATTGGTTAATAAAATTATATAGGTTTCAGATGTACAGTTCTACAGTACATTGTGTTGTGCATTCACCACCCTAAGTCAAGTCTCCTTCCATCACCATTTATCCCCCTATACCCTCCTCTACCTCCCCCAACTCCCCTTTCTCTCTGGTAATCATCATACTGTTGTCTGTGTCTATGAGGTGTTTTTTTCTTTTTTGCTTAATGCCTTCACCTTTTTCACCCAGTTTCCCAACCCCCATCCCCTCTGACAGTTGTCAGTCTGTTCTCTATCTATGAACCTGTTTCTATTTTGTTAGTTTTATTTTGTTCATTAGCTTCCATATGTGAATGAAATAATATGGTATTGTCTTTCTCTTACTGGCTTATTTCATTTAGCATAATGCTCTTCAAGCCTCTCCATGCTATTGCAAAGGATAAGATTTTCTTCTTTTATACAACCAAGTAGTATTCCATTGTGTAAATGTACCACAGCTTTTTTATGCTCTCATCTACTGATGTATACTTGAGCTGCTTCCAAATCTTGGCTATTGTAAATAATGCTGCAATGAACAAAGGGGTGCATATATTCTTTTGATCAGTGTTTCGGGTTTCTTTGGTTATAGTCCCATAAATGGAATTGCTGAGTCGTAAGGCAGTTCAACTTCTAATTTTTTGAGATAACTCCATACTGCTTTGCACAGTGGCTGCACCAAGAGTGACTTTTAGATGTGAGGTGGGCTTCAGACCCAGCAAGACCTCCTTGAGGCCTGGAATGGGGTTGGAGGAGTTTAGCAATCAGGGTACTCAGTTGAGTGAGCAACTAGGTGAGTCTGGAGAAGCAAGGAGGTTATAAGTGTTAGAACTTTGGCTTCAGAGTCCTCTTCCCTCCCTTCAGACATCAGACTATCCAGTCATCTTGTCTCTGGAGAACCACTGCAGCTTTGAACAGCAGGAGATCATAGCACACCATCTGACCGAGATCCTGGGGGATCAGCTGCTGAGCACCACCTTGGATGGGCAGTTGCCCACTCAGCTGCCCTCACCTGAGGTAGGGGCCCTGCTCCCCCAGCCCAAACTCTTCTGTGGCTTCCGTATCCCCCCTGCTTTGGCTCCTTCCCCACTTTGGTGCCTTCTCACCCTCAGATGGACCATTTTGCTCTTCATATCCTTGGAGACAACTTTAATTTTTTAAAAATCTAATTGAACACAGAGTTCTCTAAATTTTAAATCAGTTTTACTTTATATTTAGTTTTTCATTGAGAGTATCTTAATTTTTCCTGAAAGTTCATAATTGTTGTAGACTATGCCAACAATAAAGAGAAAGGGAAATCCCCCACACCATAAGGACTTTCCTAATAACTGCTATTAATAGATTTTAAATACTTCTATAAACATATGTGTGTGTGTATATATGTGTGTGTGTATTCATATTTTTAAAAAGTGAATAATAATATAATATTGTATTTCACCTGTAAAATAGTGAATGGGAATTATCCTCTATATTCCTTTATAGCACATATACTAGGTGTACCGATTAATCATGTGGATTTTGTAACAAAGAAAACATGATAATTTCAGGAGAAACATCAAAAGTGCTTTATTCAGCCCTAACTGGTTTGGCTCAATGGATAGAGTGTTGGCCTGCAGACTGAAGGGTCCCAGGTTTGATTCTGGTCAAGGGCATGTACCTTGGTTGTGGGCATATCCCCAGTTGGGGATGTGTGGGAGGCAGCTGATTGATGTTTCTCTCTCATTGATGTTCCTAACTCTCTATCCCTCTCCCTCTCTGTAAAAAAAATCAATAAAATATATATATTTTTAAAAAGTGCTTTATTCAAAGTAATGTCCATTGCTAGCTACACATTTCCCCCATCTTTCAGGTAATTTGTGGATACTGTCCCAATAGAACTTTTCTTGTTTTGAGGCAAACCATTCAGAGACCCAATTTTCCACTTGAAGTGCTGCTCAGAAAGTGCGTGTGCCATCGATCAGAACAAGTGGTAATCTGAAGGAGCGAGGTCTGGTGAATACGGCGGGTGGGTTAATACTTCCCACGCAAGATCTTTTAACGTGTTTTTAACTGGTTTTGAAGTGTGCGATGGTGCGTTATCATGAAGCAAAATTACTTTGCCGTTTTTTCTGGCATATTCTGGTCATTTCACAATCAAAGCGTGGTTCAAATTGATTATTTGTTGTCTGTAGTGATCAGTATTAACAGTTTCCCCCGGTTTTAGAAGCTCATAATACACCACACCTTCCTGATCCCACCAAACGAGAGCATTGTCTTCTTTCTGAAGCGATTTGGCCTTGCAGTTGATGTTGATGGTTGACCTGGATCAACCCATGATTTTGTGCGTTTGGGATTCTCAAAATAAATCCACTTTTCATTGCCAGTCACAATTCGATGCAAAAAAGACTTTCTTTCATGCCGTTGAAGCAACATTTTACTGATGACTTTTGGTTTTCCATTTGTCTTTCGTTCAGTTGATGTGGCACCCATTTTCCTTCCTTTAAAATCTTTCCTATTGCTTGTAAATGATAGGCAATTGTTTGCTGAGCAACGTTTAATCTTTCTGCCAGTTGTTTTTGCATTTGACATGCTTCTTCATCCAATAATACTTGTAATTGTTGGTCTTCAAACTTTTTCGGTTGACCTGGATATTCTTTGTCTTTCACATCGAAATCATCACTTTTAAAGCGTTTAAACCAGTGTTCACAAGTGTCTTGAGATGGAGCATGTTCACCATAAGCTTCCCGAAGTATACGATAACTTTCAGCAGCACTTTTCAAAATAAAGTAATGAATTAAAACTTCCCACAAATGCTCTTTTTTTGGGCACAAAATTCAACATTTTTAAGCATAAAAATATCTATGATGTTAACACCTTCAGAAAATTTTACGTATGAAGTTTTGAAGCTTGTTGTCAATACAATAAAATAGCATACATATCAAATTGCATATATATCAACATATGTGTAACTCCATCTATTGAAAAAAATCCACATTATTAACTGGTACACCTAGTAATATATATCATGGATGTCTTTTCATATGTAATGTTTTTCCTTTTTAACAGCTCTATGGTATTCCATTTTATGTATGGATCATAATTTATTCAACCAGTAGATGGTAAAGGTAACCACTAAGTGATCAATATTTAGGCTGTTTATAATTTTCCACTTGTACGTACAGCTTTGCCCATTTATTCTTTCCTTGAGATGAATTTCTAGAAGCAAAATTTCTGGGTTGAAGAGTTTGCATATTGACATTTTGGTTATTATTGCCAAGGAGTCCTCTGGAAAAAATACCAAATTGCATTACCACTAACAATATAAGAGAGGGACTACAAATAACTCCAGTAATGAGATGATTCATAAAGGCAAGTGTGAAAAAAATTTAAAAGGTCTATTTCTTCTTTTGACTTAATAATATTATTTACCCACTTTGAGGGTTTATAAGTTTTATTAACATACTAGAGGCCCAGTGCACGAAATTTGTGCACTGTGGGGGGGCGGGGTCCCTCAGCCCAGCCTGCACTCTCTCATAGTCCGTAGTCCAGGAGCCCTTGGGGGATGTCTGACTGATGGCTTAGGCCTGCTCCCCACGAGCAGGCCTAAGCCGTCAGTCGGACATCCTAAACACTGCGTCAGAGGCTGGAGAGGCTCCTGCCACCGCCGCTGTGCTCTGGCTGAGTAGTGCTCCCCCTGTGGGAGCACACTGACCACCAGGGGGCAACTCCTGCATTGAGCATCTGCCCCCTGGTGGTCAGTGTGCATCATAGCGACCGATTGTTTCACTGTTCGGTCAATTTCATATTAGCCTTTTATTATATAGGATAAAAATTTTTAAATGTTAAAAATATTGGGGTGGGAATGGCTGGGGGTCAATCAGGGAAAAAGGAGACATGTAAAACTTTAGACAATAAAGAAAAAATAAAATAATTTTGAAAGAAAAAATATTAATGCGCTGGACAATATATTTTTCAGTCTAATTTTTCTTTTCTTTTTTTCTTACCTTCTGCCTCACAGGGGTTTTTAAGCTTTATGCAGTCAAATATGCCAATGATTTTTATGTCTTCTGAGTTTTCATCTCATATTGTAAAGGCTTTCCCACCTTAAGATTATTCAAAGAGATTCCATATTTTTTTGTAATATTCTTTATATTTTCATGTAAATCTTCAATCAATGAGGACTCTTTATGTGTCAAATGTGAGGCAGGGATATTTATCTATTTATTTATTGTTAATCCTCACCCGAGGATATTTTTCCATTGATTTTTAGAGAGAATGAGAGAGGGAAAGACAGAGAGAAATATTGCTGTGAGGGAAACATGATTGGTTGCCTCCTGCACATGCCCTGACCAGGGCCTGGGCCAGGGAGGAGCCTGCAACCAAGGTACACGCCCTTGACTGGAATCAAACCCAGGACCCTTCAGTCCACAAGCCGGCGCTCTATCTACTGAGCCAAACCGGCTAGGGCTCCATTGATTTTTAGAGAGAGTGGAAGGGAGGGGAAGAGACAGAGAGAGAGAAACATCAATGTGAGATTGGTTGCCTCCCACACGAGCCCCAACCAAGGCTGGGGATCGAGCCTGCAATCAAGGTACATGCTCTTGACCAGAATTGAACCTGGGACCCTTCAGTCTTCAGGCTAACACTCTCTCCACTGAGTCAAACCAGATAGGGCCCCCATTTATTTTTTCCACATGGATAGAGATGTTACCAGTTTGCTTTTAACAATACAAATTCCTACTGTATGTATCAAGCAGCCTTCCTGTGGGAACTTCTGACTACTCACTCACTCACTTCTGTTGCCTTTGATGTGGCCCTGTGAGAGTAATAGGATCTGCATGGTCCCCAGAAGGGTCCCAAAGCAGACAGGTAGCCAAGCCCCTTCATTTTTGTCCCCTAGGAGCTTCAGAAGAAGATCCTGGTGAAGGGGAAGAAGTTAAGTACACTTGAGGAGGATCTTGAAGAAGAGGAAGAGCTAGAGACTGAACTAGAAGGGGAGCAGGAGCCTGAGCTGGAACCCCAGTTTGAGTCTGAGACCCAGGAGCTGAGCCCTCGCAGCAAGGACAAAAATGAAAAGGTAGGCCAGGGGAGTGGTCTTTGCTCTGGCATTTGGTTTGACTATCACAAGCTGAGAGTCCATGTGTGAAGAGACTAGAGCCAGGAGGGTAGAGAGCCAAGGAGCAAAATGCCCCTTTCCCCCAATGAAAGAGGCATATTTGGCATCAGTATATATTGCCATATATACTAGTAGATATATTGCAATGGCTGTTCAACTTCTGTGGGCCATGAAATCTTTTTTTTTAAATATATTTTTATTGATTTCAGAGAGAAAGGGAGAGAGAGAGATAGAAACATCAATGTTGAGAATCATTGATTGGCTGCCTCCTGCACGCCCCCTACTGGGGATCGAGCTCACAATCTGGGCATGTGCCCTTGACTGGAATCGAACCTGGACCCTTCAGTCTTCAGGCCAATGCTCTATCCACTGAGCCAAACCAGCTAAGGCAGTGGTCGTCAAACTGCGGCTCGCAAGCCACATGCGGCTCTTTGGCCCCTTGAGTTGGCTCTTCCACAAAATACCGACTTCTGCGCATGGGCCACGAAGTTTCAATCGCACTGTACGTGTGCGCCTGCACGTGGTATTTTGTGGAAGAGCCACACTCAAGGGGCCAAAGAGCCACATGTGGCTCGCGAGCTGCAGTTTGCCGACCACTGAGCTAGGGCCATGAAATCTTTTTTAATGAAATCTTATCTGGAATCTCAGTACCTAAAATAGATAAATGCAGAGCCATCCTAATTGATATGCCCATTTGGCTCTATCCTGGGTCTCCCAGGTAACTCCTGAGACATCGTTGTACTTCTCAGTCTCCTCAGAGGCAAGTTTGAAAGTGACTGATGGGTGTGTGTGCAGCATTATTATATTGAGTAAGTAGGGCTTTTTGGAGTGACTGCTGTGACCTCAACTAAAGTGAGCTTAGTTAGAGAAAGCTTTTGGAAAAGGTCATTCTGAGGTAGGGCCAAAAATAGCTAAAGAGAAGGAGCAGGAAGAGGTAGAGACAGTGAAGACTGTGAGAAGGCTGTACCTGAGTGGTCCAGCTCCCTGTGGGGAAGGAGTGTCATTTGTGGGACCATCAAAATCCTGGTTTGAAGTCTGCATTTCTTCTGTGCACTTGCTTGGCTCAGCTGACTGACTCCTAGCTTATACTATTCCCTCTGGGGCTCTGGTGTCTAACCTGCTGCCATGCCCAGGGATGGAAATGGGAATTCAGGAGATAAATCTAAAGGTAGTACTCTGGTACCCTCACATCCTCCCAGATGTGACTTACATGACCATTTGCATACCTGGACATATCTATCTGGGTTCATGTACATTTTGACCAAAAATAATTGTTTTAAAAGACAAAAGACAGGGAGGATGATACCAGTTTAAGAATAATAATAAAATTTAAAACCTGTTACCCAGAAAGTAATATAGAACAGATTCTTCAAGTCCAGAGGAAACTAATCCCATCAGTATATGTAGACTGCTTTTATTCCCATTCCCACCCCCAGGTTGTGATGTGTCCGCTGCTTTGTTCATCTATCTGTTGTCAGATTACGGTTCAGGTTCCTCTTCCCAAGCCTGGGCTCCCTCTCTTTTTCCAGCAGGTGAGGCAGGAGGGATAATGCAGTGGGGAGGTAGTGGGCAGAGGCTTAGGTTGGGTGGGGAAGTTCAGATCTTGGTTATTGGCTTCTTCCCTCTCAGATTGCTGATGGTTTGATTCCATCATCCTTTCTTTCTCCTTTTCCAGAAATCCAAGGCCATCTTGTGTCCATCTCTCTCTGCCCTGGTTATCTATACAAAGACTGTTTCATTCTACAACTTCACTCATTCGAGGGAGCACTACCGCTTCTATGAGTTATCATCTTTCTCTGAAACAAAGGCCAAGAACCTCATCAAGGAGACTGGTCAGGACCAAAAGGGAGGGACAGGGAAGAAATGGGATTAGTAAGGTCAGGCCTGATGGGCAAGCAGATGAGTTCCAAGAAGACAAGGGAGCTAAGGAGGGATCAGGGAGCTAAGAAACTTCTCAGAGTAGGCATGGGGACAGGAGTTATAGTGGGCTCAAAGCTCTAGGGAGAAGCTGGGGAGAAGACTGAAGTTGGTGGGACCAGGGGAGGGGGAGCATCCACTCCACTTCCAACTCTCTACCTACACCCTTTTTACAGGCAATGAGTTTGTGCAGCATAACGCCTGGCAGTTGAGCCGTGTGTATCCTAGTGGTCTGAGGACAGATTCATCCAACTACAACCCCCAGGAATTCTGGAATGCAGGCTGCCAGATGGGTGAGGAGGCAGTAGGCCCAGTAAAGGGGGAGTGGGAGAGCAACAAGTTGGCAATAAGATCCTGGGTGGCTGTAGGGCCAGGGAATGTTCCAAGAGTGCTAGGCTGAGAAAGATATCTATGGAGGTATTCCCAGCAGGCTCTTTTATACTGAATACATCTTTTTATAACTCCCTGAGAGGCTAGATGGCCTCCAAGGTGAATTCTTCCCTTCTCTTCTTCTGGGGCCCTCAGTGGCTATGAATGTGCAGACTGCGGGGCTTGAGATGGACATCTATGATGGCCTTTTCCGCCAGAATGGTGGCTGTGGCTACGTGCTGAAGCCAGAGTTCCTTCGTGATACCCATAGCTCCTTCCACCCGGAGAGGCCCATCAGCCCTTTCAAAGCCCAGACCCTCCAAATCCAGGTATAATGGGAAGTAAAAATGCTGGGAAGAAATTTGGGATAGCTGGGATAGAAGCAGGGGGAAGAGGTGGCTAGGCCTGACAGGAGTGTAATGGGTGGAAAGTTCCTTGTGAGATGCAGGCTAGCCTGATTGTTAACAGCATGGACCTTGGAGCCAATTGCCTAGTTCAAACCCTACTAGCTGTGAAACTGTTGGGCAAGTTTCTTTCTTTCTTTTTTAAAATATATTTTATTGATTTTTTACAGAGAGGAAGGGAGAGGGCTAGAGTTAGAAACATCCATGAGAGAGAAACATCCATCAGCTGCCTCCTGCACACCCCCTACTGGGGATGTGCCCGCAACCAAGGTACATGCCCTTGAGGCTGACGCTCTAGCCACTGAGCCAAACTGGTCAGGGCTTGGGCAAGTTTCTTAACCTTAGTTTCCTCACCTGCAAAATAGGGGTAATACTACTAGCTACCTCACAGGGTTGTGGTGATTAGTTAAAACGAAGTGCTTACAACCATGCTTGGTGCACAGTAAATGCTATAGAAGGGGTTGCTGTCACTAACATACCTTTCAAACCTTGTTCAACTTCTACTTGGATGCATTTTAAATTGCACATAGATTACTAGAAGAAAATCTATTACCCATGGAGGATTGGCTTTGCAAACCCAAAGCTAGAGCACAAAGTCCTGCATTTCTTTCTTCCCTTAGTTTTCCCCCTTCCCCTGGGGTGAGAGCTGGAATGGGGCTGGCTGAGCAGAAACTATTGCAGGTGATCAGTGGTCAACAACTCCCCAAAGTGGACAAGACCAAAGAGGGATCCATTGTGGATCCACTGGTGAGAGTGGAGATCTTTGGTGTTCGCCCAGACACAACCCGGCAGGAGACCAGCTATGTGGAGAATAATGGTGAGACTGGGCAGTGCTGGGGGGAGGTGGGAGGAACATGACTGTTACTTTCCTAACTTCCTGCCCTTCATTCAGTATAGTCCATGTCACCACCATCCTGCTCCCACCTCCATGGGAGACAGTGTGGAACAGGACAAAGAATCAGGGCTTGGACATCTTCAGTCTGAATCCTGGCCTCTCAATTATAAGGTCTAGTAACCAGAGCAAATTGCTTACCCACTCAGAGCCTCAATTTCCTCACCTGATTGCTATGAAAATTAAGTGAAAGCACACAGGGAAAGTAACCCAGAATGCAGGTCCCCCCTAAAAGTCAACAATGTCTGTTCCTTCATTCCCTCCCACATTCATCCCTCTTCCACAACAGGATTTAATCCGTATTGGGGGCAGACACTATGCTTCCACTTGCTGGTACCTGAGCTGGCCATGCTGCGTTTTTTGGTAAAGGATTACAACTGGACATCCCGAAATGACTTTATCGGTCAGTACACCTTGCCTTGGACCTGCATGCAACAAGGTGAGTGTGTCCTTCCACCCCTGGCCAAACCCCTTACTCTGGCTGCCTTCCTAATGCTGTCCTCCTATGCCTTTCCAGGTTACCGCCATATACACCTGCTCTCCAAGGATGGCACCAGCCTCCACCCGGCATCCCTCTTCGTGCACATCTGCATGCTGGAAGCGCTGGGGGAGGTTGAATCTTAAGGTGGACACTTCATGGGAAGGGTGGGTGTACTTGCTTCAGATGGTAAGATAAACCTGGAAGGATGCTCCAGAAAGTAGAGGTGGTGGAAACCAAGCATGGTTGTGTGTTCCTAAGCATAAAGTTACCTCACCCTTCCTAACAAGCAAATCTAGGGCCTGATTTTTCACCTGCTTTCTCTTCCCTTTCTTCATTTTCACAAACTTTTGGTATCTTTCCTGCCCTTCCCTTTTGCGTACTCTATCCTGGAGTTCCTTCCTTCCTTTGCTGTAGGTTTAGTCCCTACCCAGACCTAGGACTAATCTCTCTTATCAACTCTGGCTCTAAGGCAGATTGCAACTACAAATCCAGAGGGGTTTGGGGCAAAGAAACCCAAAGAGGCATTATCCCCTCCCCAACAACTTCCTCAAAGGCCAGAGCCAAGGAAAGGAAAAACCAAGCCTCAAGCCTCCCCAAGCAAAGGCTGGGGAGAGAACTGACCCTAAGACTGTACTGTGACTCTCAAGAAAACACTGCACAGCTCTGAGTCCACACTGGTCTGCTCCTTCCTAGTCCCACCAGTGTTAATAGAGCTAGCTGCTCTCCCTAATTTGGCTTGAGTGTGATCTGTCATTATTGGGCAATAAGGGGAAGAATGAGGGTTGGGGGACATTTGGGTAGACAGAAAAACAAAAGTTTCCAGGAGTCCCTCTGCATGTACTACATAAGAATGGTACAGAAGTACAGCTTCTAGAGGTCAGGGCAAAAGGAGCAGAAAAAGGGTTATGTGATCCAAGTCCTCCTGAAAAGTTTGCCTGCAACAGTCCTGGTTTATGACTGCTGTCCCAGCACAATTATTAATAGTACCTTCTTTAATTTCCCTAGTGTGCCCTAGTTTAGATGATTAATTAGTCACTGTAAGACATTTATAGAATTCTGCATTAGAGATTTACCTCCAACCCTGCAATCATTTGCCTTTCATACTATCTTTATGCTTTAATTCTAGTGTAGTCTGAGGAATGATGTTGAATTATACCTGTTTCCATGAGGAAGCTTAGTGAGTGGCAGTCCTCCCTCTACAGCAAAGGTGGGGAACATCTGGCCCATGGTCAGTAGAAGGCCCACAAAATCATTTGGTCTGGCTCTGCCAAGGCATTAGGGGTCACTTAATTAAATGTTTGACCAAATATAGCAGGCTAGTTTTTAAGTTGATAATTTTGTATGGCCTGTGAATGATGTTATAAATAATCCAAATTGCCCTTGGCAGAAAAAAGGTTCCCCACCCTTGCTCTACAGGTAGTCAAAGTTGTTCAGAAATAGGGAGAAGAGCAAGGGCCAAGACAGACTCAAGAACAGAGAGAAGGCAGACTTGGGCCTGTTTGAGAAATCAATCACTCAGTGAGATGGAAGGAGAAAAGGAGGCAGAGGTCTAAGAGGGAATGGGGTAGATTGAGATGACAGACTGAAAATGTTAAAACAGGGACATGGACGAGTCTATAAGCTAGTAAGCATTCTATTTAACATGCTTTACAGAGCATTAGGCACAACAGCACATGCAGTTCAGTACAATTGTTTTGAGGATGCTAAATGAAAATAGGATTTGACATAGCAAGAAGCAAAGAGAAGATGGAATGGGTGAAACCAGCATCTTATAGTCAGGGACTTTGGTAGAGTAATGGTGAAGAAACAAAGACCTCACAGGTTAAAAACACAGTGGTTCTCAACACAAAAATCAATCTATAGTTCATATCTCTCTTTTATGTAGCCATCAACATCAAAGTACTATAGCCGGAGTCCCAGGAGGGTTCCAGCCAACCTGACATCCCGAAGCCAGTCCTTCCTTACTCTGAGCTTCTCAGGCTAGCTCTGGTTCCAGTCTGCACATCTTGGACCACACTTTCTTCTTGTCTGGGAGGTGGGATGGGCTCTCAGCCCTCAGGTCCAGTTGGGGGAGCAGAAAGAGCAGGAGGACTGGGATCCTCCAACTGCACATCATGCAGGTGCACCGTGGGGGTGGTGGGGTCTTTGCCCACACCTTGGTTTGGGTCAGCCTGGTCAGGGTGGTGTCTGCGCACATGCTTGACAACCTGGAACTTCTGTTTGGCTTTGTAGCTGCAGAGACGGCAGAAGAAGGGGTGGCGGTCGGTGTGGGTGAGGGCATGATGGCGCAGGCCAGCAGCCCAGCGGAAAGCACGATGGCACACGTTACACACATAGGGTTTGGCCTCGCTGTGCTTGCGGAGGTGGGTGCGCAGCAGGAAGCGTGTCTTGAAGGCCTTGCCACACTGCTCACACATGAAGGCCCGAGCTTCCCGGTGCCTGGTCTCCTGGTGCACCCGCAGGGCATCAGCTCGGTTGGTGCAGTACTCACATTCGGGACACTGATATGGCTTCAGTCCTATAGGACATGGCAAAGATAGGTAACAAATCACCACTGAAGGGGATGGAACAGGGTTCAGTGAACCATAAGAGTCACTGTGATCCTGGGACATAAAAAACTAAGCAGCAAGCTAATACCATATCTTTGGAATATTTCAGTCTTGTCTGACATTTCTGTGCCCTTCTCCCAACACAGCCCCTTGTACACAATGGATGCTCAATAAGTGCTGATAATTAACTGGACCTCTAAATAGCCACCTGATAGCAATAGATACTCAGATATGATAGGGTTTCCAAATAGGAAATTCTAACCTTTTGGTCATGGAGTAGGTACTCATGGAAGTTGGGGATGCATTTAAATACAACTCCTTGTTCAATTCAAGAAGTTGAAAAAAATGTTTAAGAGGGAAGGGGATAGAAGTGAAAGCAGCAGCATTCATAGACGCAGAGGGCCTTGAAATGCATCTGCTCAATTCCTTTACATGAGGAGATCATACCCAATAATCACAGGCATGTCACCATTAACCCTTTTCAGAGAACCTGTAGTTTGTGGACTCCATAACCAAGAGAAAAAAGGATAGGTTAAAACCTTCCCACTTTCTCCTCTTTACTCATGATAGTTCCACCAGGTCTATAGGAACCAGGAAGACCTCCCTTAGTCACTCATGTTTGAGTTGGGGGGTTCTCAACAGGAGGTGTGTGACCTGGTACCACAATCACCCAGGGAGCCTTTGAAAAGTACACATACTCAGGCTCTCAGGCTCACCTCTCTTCTGATTCTGATAAGTCTTCAGTGGATTGGGAAGCTATTCTAGCCATCTGACCCACCCACCATCCCCAAGGTGAAAACTGATGTGCAGCCTGAATCAGTAAGAACCCAATCAGGGAGGCTGGGTGTGCCAGGGAATGGGGGAACCCATTGAGCTTGTCAAAACCATGCAGACTCACCTGTGTGCTTGGTCATGTGGTACTTGAGCTGGTTGACCCACTTGCACTTGTAGCCACAGTCAGGGCACAGATACTTCCGTTCCTCCTTATGGATCCGCATATGGTACTGAAGGAGAAAAGAGCAAAGAATATGCCCAGAAAATGTGGGTACTCAAGGATAAGGAAATAGGGGAAAGAGGCAGAAAGACTGTTGGCAGACAACCCTGGTCCCTGCTCCCATCCTATCTATACTCCTGTTACCAACCAGGTTCCCCAGTCTGGCCACTTTGACACCAACCTCACCCACTGGGCCTACTCCTAGATCTGCCCAGACTCTCAGCTCTGCCACTTTATTTCCTGCATCTTTGGGTGACCTAATCTCTAATTGTCAGCTTAATAATCTGTAAAATAGGAAAAGTAACTATTATCTCATATTTTTTCAAGGATTAAAATTACATTTACCAGCATACAGTAAGTGCTCAATAAATGTTAGCTGTTATTATTATCTAGGTTATCCCCAACCTATTACATGCCTTTATCACACGACTAGCATGTATTATAGAATTTTATAACAACTCTATGAATTATTATCCCATTTTTACAGATGAGGAATCTAAGGCTTGGAGAAATTAAGGGAATTGACAAAGGTCACAAAAGTAATATTTGGTAGAGTCAGGATTAGAGAACCCAGGCAATTTAACTCCACAGACTGTACTCCTAGCCCCCTTTGTCCTTGACCTTACCTTGAGGCGAGAGGGGTCAGCACAGGCATAGGGACAGAGATGACAGTGGTAGGGCTTTTCCCCAGTATGAATGCGACTGTGCCAGGTGATCTTCTGCCGGTTCTTGGTGCTGTAAGTACAATCAGTACACTTGTAGAGCCGGGTGCCCCCATGCCCTTTCACATGGTGATCTAACACCAGCTGATGGCGGCACGTGAAGTCACAAAAGGGGCAGCGCAGAGGGGACTGGCCAGCATCCCCATCTGAGGCTGCTGCTGAAGTCTCCTCATGCTGTTCCAAGTAGTGCTTCACCAGGCCCACCCGCTCCCGCGCAGCAAAGTCACAGAGCTGGCAGCGGTGGCTGAAATGCTGCTGCCTCCGGTGCTCATCCAGTGCTGGCCGGCTAGGAAAGGCCTGCTGGCAGGCCCCACACTCAAGCCGCGGGTGCTGTTTACAGGTGTGCCCTTGCAGTCTGGCAGGACTGGAGGATAGGAACCCACAGCGGGAGCAATGCAGAGGGCCCTCAGTGGCCTCCACAGGGGAGCCCAGGGCTGGGGGGGTAGGCTCGGGATGCCGGCGCAGAGCATGCTGCTTGAGTGCTGTCTCAGAGCTGAACTGAGCCTCACACTGGGGACAGGCAAAGGCTAGGGTGCCCTGGTGGCAGCTGTTCACATGGCGAGCGATGTCGTGGCGAAGGTAGCCACTATAATCACAGAATTGGCAGAAGTGAGTGGGTGTTTTGTCGTGTACCCTCAGCCGGTGCAAGCGCAGTTTTGAGTTAGTACCAAATGTCTGAGGACAGGAACTGCAGGGGATGCGGCCAACACCTGTGTGTCGGGACTGGTGAGCCTCCAATCGGTACCGTCTAGTGGTGGAAAAGTCACAGAAAGGGCACTGATGTGGCTTCACTCCTTCGTGCTTGAGCCGCTGGTGCTGCTGCAAGCACCTGCTCTGTTTACAGACAAAGCCACAGTCGCCACACTGAAGAGGGGGGCGGGGGCCACGGGTTGGGGCCACAGTGGGGTGCCTCCGCTTCTGGTGGAGCTTCAGGGCAGCGGCAACAGGAGTGGTGAAGGAACAGAGGCCACAGTGCAACTCTCCAGATTGCGCAAGGGGGCAGCCCCTGGTCTGGTGAGTCCTCAGAGCCCGCTCCTGCTGGCAGCTAAAGGGACACGTGGGGCAGGAAAAGCGAGCCCCCTTCTGCTTTGGAACCAGAGCTGGGTCCCCATCACCAGGGCTACACTTAGTACTCCCACTGTTTAGGGGAACAGAGTCCCCAATGCTCAGTGGGGACACAATAGGCTGGGTCTGGGAGGCCCCTCGCTTTCCTGCTCCGCTCCGTACCCCCCGGCAGCCGTCAGCCACGTGGGAGGTAATGGAGGAGAGCCGAGAACAAAGGAACACGCATGAGTTGCAGTGAAACTTGCCCTGTTCAAAGTGGAACTTCTCAGGGGCCTCTGGGGATGAGGAGTTTCCTGCAGGAAGTACTGTGGAGCCAGAGAGTATGGCCAGAGACTCCTTTATTTCTTCTGGTTCCCTAGGAAGCTCAGAAGCATCTTTTGGGAGCACTACCTCTACTTCTAATGGTGCAGGTGGGGGTTTCCCACCTTCTGCAGCCTCTGAGGTGTGGGTACCAGTGGGCAGAGGATGCAGAGGGATAGGTGAATCTGTTCTGGCCAATCCCTTGTTTTTTTTGAACAAAACAGGGCACTTTTTCAACAGGTGGGTGCTAAGGCCACGCTGTTGTTTGAAATTAGCCCCACACTCAGGGCACAGCAGGGGCTCTTGGCGGCCCTGGCACCCAGTCCTGGAATGCAGACTCAGGGCCTTCTCCCGCCGGGTAATAAAAGGGCAGTGTGGGCAGCGGAAGGCCTGCCCTTCTCCCTGTATCACTACCATCTGAACCCGCCCCTCCAGTACCAGTGCCTCTGCCTGTTCTTTGTCCTGTCTCCTTAGGGCCTTGAGTAATGACTCTGACTCAGGCAACTGGGGCAGGAGCGCTGTCTCAGTGGGTGGAGTTGTCTTGAAGGTTCCCACCCAGCTGTTAGGGGATTCCTCTGAGGAAGGAGGATTTCTGGGGGGCTCAGGGACTGGCTTTTCCAGAATGGGCTCTTCTTCAGCACTCAAGCCAGAAGTGCCAGCACCTTCAAAGGTAGACAGCTCTGTCAAAGTCCCATCTGGCCCTTCCAGTCTCAGGGGCCCGAATTCCACAGGGGCTGTTTCAGCGATCTCCTCCAGAGGTGGCTCGGCCACAGGTTCCAGCTCTACTCCCAGGGCCTCTAGGTGTAGTGTGCAGCTGCCTTCATC